GCTTTGTTATGCTTATATCCCTTGTATTACGTGCTTCACGGGTTTCGGGTTGTTTTTGATGTGTTTTCAGGTATAATCGACCGAGTTTAGTCGGGTCCCGAGCCATTGGTACGTGATCGAGCCAACCTTGGTCGTATACGAGGAACTAAGGGGTTTTTCAAGAGTTTACACAAGATGCACAAGTAGCACGGCCGTGCCACATTTGGCACGCCCGTGCTAGGCAGCTCCAGCAATTCTGACCAGGCAACACGGCCGTGCAGAGATGAAGCACGGCCGTGCCATTTTCCATGCATCAGCACGGCCGTGCCAGATTAAGCACGGCCGTGCCAAGTCAGGCTAGTGCCCGTATCAGCCAATTTCCATGCCCCTGCCAGTGCAAGATTCAGCACGACCGTGCCAAATTCAGCACGGTCGTGCCAAAATTGAAGATATTGCGGATCATCTACTGCCATGTTTGCACGGCCGTGCCACTTCTAGCACGGCCGTGCTAATTTACGAAGGGCAGCCTGCGATTTACTTTCCGATTTAAAACACATATATATATATAGCCTGATTGTAAGGGTTAAGAGAGACAGATTTGGGGAGAGATTAGAGACGTATTTTTCAGAGAGACTTTGTAGAGAGATAGAGAGCACTTCCGTAGTTGAGATTCCATAGATTTGATCTAGTTAATCGTAGTTTTCCGGATTGATTCGAAGCAAGATTTGTTGGGATTCTTTATTTTTGATTGACATCAGATATCAAAGTTCCAAACTTTGTCATTGATTCGCATCAATACAATTGGTATTATTCATTCTTGTTTATTAATCAAGCTTTATTATTCCTTAATCGGAATTCATGTTTAGATCTATTATGCTTTTGGAATTCATTATTTCTTTGATTATGAATATGTGTGAGTAGTCTCCTAGCTAGGGTTTCGGGATGAAACCCGGCCTAGGTAGTCTATGTAATTGAGGGTTGATTTTGATAAACGGATTGTGATTAAATTGATTATATGCGATTGCATGTTAATTCATTATAATAGGAGTAGCTAACCTAGAATCTTGAATTTGATTGCATGATATTCTTGATTTGAACAAGAGATTGTGAATTGAGTATTTCATTGTTGAATGTGGTTTGATTATGTATCGAGTAATGTTGAGTGCATGAGAAATTCAAGCTTAGTATCGCCCGTTGTCTTCCTACCACATGATATTGATTAGACATATAGTCTTTGCATATCCCGTTTGTCTCTGTGATTCCTTGTTGCTTAGTTACCAATGGTTAGGCGGATTCCCGTTCTCCCTAGTGTCTTAGTTTATTGATTATTTCATCTTATTAGTAGTATTTTAGAACACCATCTTCCATTGATTTCGAACTAGCTTAGGTTTTAGGTTTGATTAGCAGTTACTCCCGTTCTTCGTGGACCGAACCTTTATTTGCCATTATATTGGTTATAGGGTGTTCGTATAAGTATTGTTTGATTAAGAGTTAGATTGTAGCGACCGATTTAACGCTTGTCACACATAGCAGCCCCTCAAGGCACACCCCTGTGCGCACCATAGGCAACCACATGTGGGCTGCTAGGCAGCCCGGCTAGCCTTGGTGGCGCTTGGGTGTTTTTCCTTTATTTGCGTGCCATTTCTCGGGATTTTAATCCCGATTTACGTGTGACATAAAATTAATCTAAATTTTTTTAGAATTAATTTAAGGGCAAAAATGAAAATAAAATAAGTCCAACTTGATTAAATTCAATTTTAATGGTGCACAAGCCTAAATCATTCAAAAAATTATTTTGAAATAATTTAGGTCTTCCTTTAAGCTTAAAATTGAAATAGCTATGTCCATAATTAATTTAGCCAATATGCAAATTAATAATGGATTTGACAAATGGGAGTTGGAAAAATAAATTAACCATCTAATGATAAAAATTTTCCAACTTTCATACTTGTGTAAAATACCAAGATTACATCTTCCAATATGAAGATTAATAAAAATTTTACTCACAAGTATAATTCATGGATTTTAATCAACCAAAAATGAAAAATCCAAACTTTGTTCAATATGAAATTTAGGGTTAGAGTTCCAATCATTTAAACCTTTAAAGATTAGAACTTTAACATACTTGGGAACTTAAAATTACACATTCACATCAAACATTCACACATTAATGCAATTTATTTGCATAATTGTGAAAAATCAAGTTTGTGTGAAAAATAGCATATCAACTCAAGCACTAATTAAAACTCCATAATATGCTCAAGGATAATTAAAATAGCAGTAGATTAGGGATGTCATAATGCATTTAATCTAAACTTTTAATGCTTGCATTAATCAAGGCTTAAAAAGATTTGAAATTTTCATTGAAAAACGAAAAAATCCCAAAAACTTGGGTTTTTGGTTCGAATTTGGCTTCTGGACAGCCCTCTAAGAGAGTTGAATCTGTTTTAGAATGTCAATTCCACCCAAAAATCACTGTTTTTGAGCCAAAATCTGGGTTCGACAGCCAAATCGATAAGAAATACGAGTTTTAAAATTAATTAAAACGAGCTTCTAATCTAATTAGAAAAGCAAAACCAGAAATTAAATCTTACTTTTAAACACCTTAATTAATCAATGATTGCAAAAATTAAAAGGAGCGTGGCTCCGATACTGCTGTAGGGTTTCGTAGTGACCCACACTACGCGGAATGAAACCCGCCAAGACCCGCCCCCGTAATAAATGCAATTAACAAGAAAAACATAATTAAAAGATAATTAAGGATAAAAGATTATACCTTTGACGCGTGCTTCGCTCAACTATGAGCTCTTACTTGAACCTCGAAAACACGAGGCCTCCGACGGGATCGTACCCTCGAACCCGACCCGAGCGTCCTAAGTCTCGAAGGTTAGTCGAGACTCGGACAAATAAAACTATGAGTTTTACGAATCAAGGTTTACTCAAATCAAGAGTTGCCTTTTTAATTCCACTCAAGGTTGTTCTTTCCCAAATACCCAAACTTTGGTATTTATAGGGAAATGAACCCTTGATCTTCATTTCCCAACCAATGTGGGAGAATAAATAATTTTGATGATTAATTTAATTCCAAAATAAATTAATAATCAAATCAATCACAATGCAACAAGTGTCAAGGGGAGAGAGAGAGAGTTAAGTGAGGACCAAGAGAGGTGGGGGGGGGACCATTGCCTTGCTCCCCAAGGCTTTACCTAGGCCTTGGTCCCCACCCTCACAAAACCGGCATAGGGGCTGCTGGGCTGGCAGCCAGCTAGCACTACCAGCTAGCCTAGCCAGCCAGCACAAGGCAGCAAGCATCAACCCAGCCAGTCCTCATCCGCGCTGCGTGCTGCTGCTGGGTGATGCCTACGCTGCTGCTTGCTAGGCGCTGGGCGCTGCTAGCAAGTGTTGCTGGTTGCCTGGCTCTTGCATGCACACGCACACCCAGGCCCTCGCATTCCCAGCATGCGTGCTGCTAGCGAGCCACGCATGCTGGGCATCGCCTCGCCAGCCACACGCACAAGCATGCGAAGCTTGGTGTTGTGATGCTGCGATGGCTTGTATGCACACGCACTGAGCGAGGGTCGTGCTGCAGCTGCGATGCCCTCCACGCACACGCACACACGCATTGGCCTAGCCATGCGATAGTGTTGTGCTTGTGCGAGGGGCCTGCGATGGTGCCTAGCACCCAGGCACGCATGCTGCGGTGCAGTGTCATGCGAAGGCACGCATATGCGCAGCCATGCTGCTGCGATGGTGCGACAGGATAAGGCACAAGCACACGCACAGGCCTAACCATGCGATAGTGTTGTGCTTGTGCAACGATGGTGCGATGGTGCGATAGGTGCATGCTAGCTCGAGTTAGCCTAGCGTTCACATGGCTAGGTCACTGTGATACTACGGCTACGCTCGAACTTGTTGCTTATGATTTTGCGACCCTCAGTCTCGACGCCCTAGGCTCGATATCCGACGTCTCTGTTCGTAAAACTCCGACGACTCATTAAATCCTTTGGATTAATTTTTCGTCTCGGATCGGTTGTTCGATTGGGTTCGACCCGAAGGGTTCAGTTAAGATTAACCTGTAATATCAATTGTACCTTGATATTACTGATCGGAAGCGGCCTCCACCTAGACATTCCGATCACTTGATCTTACTGAAGAATTAGCTCTGTAATAATTCTGAACCCTCTATCAGAATAATACACTTGTTGGAAGGACACCATTCCTTTCAAGACCTTTGGTCCACCCAAGATTTTTTGCCATTATTATTAGAACTCTTTTAATGATTATTAATACAAATTTTATTTACTAGATATATATATATATATAATATAATATGACAACAATAAAACCCTAATTCGTCACTTCTCTATAGCAGAGTAGTAGTATATGGGCTTTTTTTTTATTGTTTTAAGAGAGAGAAAGGTAATTGATGAAAATAAGAAGATAACCGGTGTAAATCAGGGATAGAATTGTAATGGAAGCATTAAAAGATACACAGCTAACACAAAATAGCTGGTCTTACAAGCTTTTGGCTTTGGAAGAACAGCTGACTTTTTTAGCCAACAAAAAACCAAACATATATTTTGGTTGTTTGACCACATCCAAAAGCCAAAACGCAAAAGCTGTAGGAAAAGCATGAAAATCTGTTTACAAAACAATCCCATAGAGATAATTTTAAAAATAGTTAATTAATCAGCAAAGAAAATTAGAAAGATCAATCAATTAGCATACAAATACATTTAAAGAAAAAAAAAGCTTACGATTAATTACTAAATTATTTTCTTTCCGTATATTGTCAATACAATCAATTAATTATTAATAACAAAACTATAAATTTTTAATCAATCAAATAATTTACATGTAGTACAATAAAAATCATTTCGTAATAATATATATACACACATATGTATATACAGAATTGAGATCATGTCAGAACCTAGGTGAATAATAGGAATTAAGAACTGATATGAGCCTTTGATTTTGTTTTAACCGATCGACGATATCTTACCCGCCTCATTAGTGGCATTCATGTAAATTCAAGTTTTGAATGTTTTCAAATCTTTTTCGGCTATTTCTTTCCTCTTTCTCTCTCTCTTCTCCTACTTTCTCTCTAATTCCCTCTTTGATTTTGTTTTTCTCAACGTATAGCGAACCAAATTCACCTTCAATTTCTTCTTTGTACTCATCTTTGCTCCTAATTCATACAAAAAATTCGATCCTATTTTGTCGTTTGAGGTATGCGAATTTCTTTATTTCAATTTTTAGGTTTTGGTTGAATTTATAATTTATATCCTGATTTGATCGAATTAAGGTTCTAATGATGCTATAATGTTTTGAGATTTTATGATTTTGAGTCTAAAATAAGGGTTTTCACTTTTTTTTTTATTTAATTTTTTTAATTTTTTTATTTAGTAATGTACAATTTTGCTCAAGTTTTTGCGACTTTTATTGCTATTTTTGTCGCCTAGCCTTCTCATGATTTGTTTTCCAAATTAGAGAATTTAATTTCAAATTTTTATTTTCTTTAAATAAGACTTCATAACGTATATGATTTTATTTTGTGATATCTTTATTGATATTTTTTTTTCTTTTTTATTTTATCATCCGAACTAAGTCAAGATATTTTTGCTTATTTAATTTACTTTTGAGTTTATATTATTTACTTCTTGAGTTTAGTTATTGGTTGTGTGGTTTTGATGTTAATGGTTGTGTGGAGTGTTGCTGTGTAGGGCTTCTATTTGGTAGAAGCAGCAAAGGATATTGCAGGTTTTATTTATTGTTTGGGCGTTGTGTGTATGGTGGGCTATCTGTAATTAGAAAGCAGGGGTGAGAGTGTGATGTTGTGTTGTTGGCTGTTGTTTTTGTTTGATTTCATGTTTTATTGCTTATCCTATGCTTAAGGTTTTCATACTACCTGGTTTGAATCTTTTCATCATGTGCAAATATATTTGTTATATGGGATGACTAATTTATAAGTATGGGAAATGTGGGTTTGTTGAATCAGCTAAGAAGTGTTTTTAGAGTGTTTGGATATGGATTTAGTTGTTTAGAGTGACATGATTAAAGGGTATGTTTGGAATGGTGAATTTGAAGGGTTAACAGATTTATAGGGCGATTGGAATTGCATTTATTAACTATATTCACTCTATAATAGCCTACTAGCTCAATTCATATATCTATTTCTTTACAATTAATTAAGGTTTTGGTAATTGGGGCTTTATTGATTGATTGAATTTGAAACTACAAGTTAACATTTTTATGATGTTGGCATTGCTGGCGCATTTCTAGAGTTGTTGGAGGCCTATTCTCCTTAAGGTTTCTTTATATTAGCAAGTACAAGTATATAATATTAATATGCCATCATTTACATTCTCATAAATCTCACCCCCTAGCAAAGCCTCTTTGGAGAGCTGAAGTATGCTGGACAAAGTTTTTGAATCTTGTTAATGTTTCTAAAGCCACAACAGCTTCAACTTGTGCAATTGATGACCCTCTAACCATGGAATGCCCTGACCTAGCTTCGCTGCTCTCCCCTTGTACCATATCAGTTTCGGACTATTGGAGCTCTTCTCAGATCCTGTAAAGTAGCAATTTGTGCCTCCTCCCCTAAGCTAATCTCTGAAGCTGTTGTCTGATTCTACATCATCATGATCAGCCTAATTCCTATCCAAAGAACATCTTCTTGTTTTTCTTGCGTTTTCTAGTTGTATATATTGCATTCTTGTAATTGTTAATATCCAATAGCCCTTGATTTTATTAGTGTAAAATGGGTACTCTTATGGCCTATAGAACACCCTTATGCCTTGTCATTCCATCGCTATTACTATCCTTAATAGTTGCCTTTTTGCAACTTCAGGATGCAGACCACATCGCTATATATATATATAGGATTGAGATCATGTGAGAACCAAGTCCTATAATAGGAACTAGGAACTTATCGTGACCGTTGATCGCTCTCAATCCGACGGCTTGTGTTTCACTCGCCTTTTTCAATTTCATTGAGGGCATTTTGGTAATTTCGCCAGTTGGATGACCTTTCTCCTGTTCTTTTCGCAGTTCTTTTGTTTCTCTCTCCTCTCTTGCACTTCTCTCTTTCCCCTCAACTCTCTCTATATTTTCGTTTCTCTTGTATCGAAATCGAGATTTTCTTCTTCACTAATCAGTTTTTTGCTGTGATTCTTTGATTTTCGTCATTGTTTAAGGTAATTATTTTTTATTTATAATACTTTTTGCGATTTTTTTTTATCGGTTTACGATCTGTTTTGTTCGATTTGAGAATTTTTGTTTTTTCGTTCGATTTATTATTTTTGCATTGTTGTTTTTGTTTTCGTTCAATTTTTTCAATTTATTTCTGTTTTATTTAGTGTTCTTTTGTTATGATTTTGTGTTTTTTGAAGTACTTTCTACGATTTAGGGTTCATATACTACGATTTGGGGATTTTTTGTGAATTACTTACTACGTTTTAGGGTTTTATATTACAATTTAAGTTTTTTTTTTTTTTTTTTTTTTAATTTTGAGTCTAATTGTGTGATTTTGTGTTGTTTTGAGTCTTATATTACAATTTGGGTTTACGATTTTAATTAAAGAATAATGTTGATGAAATTTGGAATGAAGAATAATTAAGTGAAGAAGGTTTTTTTTTTGCTAGTTTCTGTTCATTTTTTTTATCATTTTAGTTTAGATCTTATTGTACTGGATAGTGATTGTTTCTGGCCGGATTTGAGAGATCTATTGATAGTTTTTATTAGTATACTTTTTTTAAATGGTTTATTTTTTGTTATTGTTTATTTACTTTTTTTTTTATTCATTTACTTTTTAGGAAGAAGACTGAAAGTGTAGAGCATTGTGCTGCTGTCACTGATGAAGATAAGAATGTAAGAATTTTCAAAACACCCACTCAGCCTATGCTTCCTAAGATATATTATAATTCTAGAGGTGATAAAGAGTGTATCCCAGGTTGTTCTTTGGAAAACAAACCTATTCTTGGAATGAAATTTGATAGTCTTGGAGATGATATTTCCTTTTATTACAAATATGCTAATAAGTGTGAATTTAAAGTCCGTTCTAGTATTTTTAAAGTAGATAAGAATAAGGTTGGTTCTAGTAATGGTAAATGAGTTACTATAATTAAATATTTATTATGTAGCAAAGAAGGGTATGTGACAAATAACAAGAAAGTTGATAAACAAGTTGAAGGTGCATGTTTAAGGAAAAAGACTGTAAAGAGAGTTGGATGTCCTGCTAATATTAAAATTTAGGTTTTTGTAATGGTGGGCAGTATATGGTTTACTCTTTTTATGAGTCTTATTCTCACCCTTTTTCTACACCTATTATTAGGCAGGCTACTTGTTTCGGGGTTTTTTGATGTCCCGCGGGAGAGTTACAATTCCGGAACTGGTCTCCTTGCGCCTGTACTTGCAAAACAACGGAGACTCCTTGTGGTGGGAGTTTCGCCTCCGACGGTCAAGTTAGTACTTGTTTGAGGAGTAATAAGTGCGGAAAAGTAAAGATTGGGATATCTGGTTCCTCTAGGGGAGGAGTGATCAGTGTGTTTAGGTTCTCTAGGTGAGAGTAATTAATTGTTGAATCCCCTCTCTAATGAGGATTAATGAAGGTATTCATATGCCTTGGGATGTGTGCCAGTCCTAAGTTTAGGTCAACCTAGGGCTGATTGGGCTTCCACAAGACTTTGGGCCTAGGTGGCCGGTTTTCCCATTTGGCATGGGGGAGGCCACGTGTCGTGGCATAAGAGGTCCAAGGTGGACTAGTCGACACTTGACACGTGGCAGGCTCCAATTGGTCCATGTGGCGGACACTTGGCAGAGCCCGAATGGTCCACTTGTCAAATGATGATTGGTAGGGAAAAATCCCCTAATCATTTGCCCCTCACAGGTGGCATGTGACTGTTCACATGTCACCTGTGACAGGTGTCGGCCTGTAACAGGCGACGACCTGCTACAGGTATCGCCCTATGACGGGCCGATCATTTTTTCTGCTCATTTTTTGAATTCAAAAGTGACCCTTCGCATTCTCATTTTACCCTATATAAGGGCATGTTGACCGAGTCTTTTGTTCACATTTGCGAACTTTATCAAGAGAACTCTCGGACTCCTGAACTTGAGCTTTGACTTTATGGACGATTGCTTTTACCAACCGCCTGTTTTTGTTGGACGCCTGTTCGATCAAGCTTTCTTTCAGAACTTAAGTTTCAGGTAACCGTATGTTCCTTTATCCTTTTTATGTTTTGCTTTTGCACTTTTTCTTTCTTTTTTGAAAAATGAGACCTCAAAAGAATCCGGCACGACCTAGGTTAGCAATCACCAGTCACTGGGGACGGCTGAATCTAGGACTAGGGGTGCCGATTGCCTCGGGTACTTCAAACTTTGCGCAAGTCCCGGAATCCAATTGTCTTTGTATTTATGCAGGACAGTATGGCAAGAACAAAAAAGACAAAGAGGATTGAAAACTCTGATGGCTCCTCTTTCCGGGTTCAGATTAGTGAGCTGTCGGACCACCCGCCTGATACCGCAGGGACCTAAGGTGGCCCTTCTGTCGAGAGCTCTGAGGAGGGAGCTAAGGTAGCTCCTTCCCATTTCTTTATTGACTTGGCTAGTCAACAGACGACCCCTGAAGAAGAAGAGGGGTCGGCCCCCTCAGGGAGAGGGGAGGAGTCGGACTCTTCTGATAGCGAGCCTGACTCTAGCTCTCAAGCCGCCTCTCTATAAACTTAGAGGAAAGACATTCTCGCTTGCATGAGGCGATACTGTCTCATGCGGCTGAGAAGGGGGACGACTGGTCGGAACCATCCGCCTCTCATAGGGAGTTGAATACTCCTTATTATTGTCATGTCCCAAAGGGCCGCATCAAGGCCATGAAAGAGCGAATACTCTTTTCTATCGGACCATGTGATGGGTCCTAATTTCTAAGTTTTTGTGCCGGATGCTGAAGATGTCGTCACTGGCAGCTGAAGCCAGCTATGGGGACGCCTGCTTTGGCTGTTATGAGGTGGCCATTAAGGCTGGTCTGCGATTTCCCTTGCATCCGACCGTTCAACAAATCCTCGATGGATACAAGGTGGGGCTATGGCAGTTAGCCCCGAATTCCTGGTTCAACATCCTTGGCTATGTAGCCGGGTGTGAAATGCAAGGGGTGGAGCCGAATTTTGAGGCGTTCACCCATATAAATTACCTCAGCCGAACCCCCAAAGCAAGCGATACCGGTTGGTATCAAATAACGAGCCACAAAGGCTATTTGATGACGAGGGGCAAAGAAAATAAATGGAAGGATTGGAGAAACACCTTCCTCATCATTGCCAGCCTTGACAAGCTGCTGAACAAGCGCTACAATAGGTGGAACAGGGATCCGCCTCTTCTAGCAGGCGGTCGCAGCATGCCGCTTGTCCCCCTCAAGGCTAGGGAAGAGATTCTTGATCAAGGACTCTTCAAAGTAGAAATTAGGGCTAACTCTACTACTGGGGTACGAGAGCAAGTGCCCCTAAACTGCGTCCCCAAATTCAAGTGGCTCTATGATGAGTACTTACTGGCCACCTGCGGCCTTAGCAGTCGGTCCTCCAGAGGTAGACGACCTCCTGAGCATATGTACACATCTTTGGCCTTGCTTTCGAATTTTTTCGAACTCTTTGCGGTTTTATTTTCAGCTGAAGCTATGGACCACATTTCTGCGTCAAAGAAGGCGGTCGCCTTGCTGCGAACCTCCATCATGCAGCAGAAGCGGACCTCTTCCGATTCTCCTGCCAAGCAGACGCCCATAGTGAGTTTCTGATTTTTCGAGCTGTGCCTTGAAAGTTTGCTATTAGTAGTATTAACCATTCATCTTTTTCGCAGGCGGGCACTTCCAAACCCTCTTCCTCCCAACAACCGGACTCAAAAGTTCGGAAGACGACTGCTGGCAGTACGCCTGGATCGGCCAGGAAGTAGTCACCCCACAAAGTGTTGGTTAACCATCACAAGTCCTTAGGGACAGTCGGCCGCCGAGAGGTATAATATAGCTTTGCTAGACTTGAACTTTTCCTTCAATGTTTTTTTTTTTATTCTGACCTTTCCCTTCTTTGGTTGCAGGCCGCCCTCAAGAACCCGACTTGGTCGAGATGGCCAAGTTTATGATCAAGGCTATCCTTCTAGAGGAGAGGGATGCGGTCAGGGGAGTCGGCACCCTTGACTTAGACGGCATCATGGGTCTCCTATCTGAGGTAGACTTAGAATTTTATAATATCAACCTTGCCTGCCGCCTAATATTTTCAAACCTGGCCCCTGTTTGGTTATTTTCAAGTCTGACACCTGGTTTTCTCTTTTTCAGACCCTGCAGCGAGTACACGGCCTTCGTAGGCCAATTAGCGCCAAGAATAAAAAGGTAAAGGATGCTAAAGTTATGGCCGCCTCTAACGTTGATAACACAATGTTTCAAATTGCCCAAAATGAAATTTTGACAATTGATATTCTTTATTATCAGGCGCAGGCCACTTCCACTATCCGCGCTGAGTTGGAGGCGGCCAAGAAGAGGAACAACGAGCTGGAGGCGACGGTCAAGGGTCTCCGAGATGAGCTGAAGCCGCTTAGGCAGAAGATGACCTATTTTGAGGCCATGGAAAAATCTTTGGCGACTGTCAAAGACCGCCTGCAAAAGCAGGAAAAGGCCCTCACTGATGAGCTCAAGGCTAAGGCCGAGTCTGAAAAAATGGCTTTAGCTCAATCCATGATGGACGACTCGGCTCAGATCATGAAGATGACTTGGACGGCCCTCTTCCCAAAAGCTCACTATGCCGCTTGGGAGAAAAAGTTCAACCGCTTGTACTGAAACGTACAACCAACAGATCATGAGGCAGGCGGCTGAGGAAGACGAGGCGGTTAATTCCAACTCAAGCTCCTCCCAATGTTTAAAGCTTTCATTTTGTCAAACTTTTCTCCGACCTGCGTGCCGTTTGTTCTTGTATCACTTTACCGGGCCGGGTTATTGAATATTTTGCTGGTCTTTATGGCCGGCTGCTTATATGAATTCGGCGACCATCTTTCGGTCGTATTTGATCACGGAATCTTGTTTTATGCTTTATTTTTGCAAAGTATAGAGGATCCTACTATCCGCTTGTATGTCATACCGACTATTTCGGCTAAAAATGTTTTAAGATTTGTAACTTATCGTAAGCCAAAGATTGCAAACAGGTACTAGGTACCGACTGCCTATGCCCCTGGACGACTGGTTATCTTGGTTACAGGTTAGGCGATCAATCGGCCATTTACCCAGTCGGTCCCCTAACGTATTTTAGGAAATGTGTTAGGTTTGTTAAACTTTTTCAAGTTAGAAAAGAACAGGTCGCTTATAACCAGCCCGCCTGTTTGTTAAAATAGGAATAGTTCTTGAGTCCTTGTTTTCCAAAAAGCAGTCGACCTACGAACCAGATTTTCAAACATGTTTGGTTTGAAAAGAAATCATCTTAGTAGGGTTGTGGTACGAGAGCTCTGGTTCGCCTTTAGACAGGTGGACTCGTCATACCTTTTGAATCCTTACTAAGTATGAGAGAGTGACTTATGAGTAATCTTTGAGGTTACCTATTCGTCAGCTTTTATGCTTGAGTAGTAGAGGTATCAGGCAGTGGAGACCGGCTGATCCCCTTGATTCGTCAATTTCCGTTGGCTATTTAGTCAAGGGGTACCGCCTGTACTTATCCCAAGTAATACAGACGGCCATCCGACGCGGATGTTTACTGCTAACACTTGTTTGGTTTAATGTTAGAGCTATCCTTGTCTCAAAAACGGCTACGCGGTTACCCTTGGGGTCAGCCGTCTAGGTGTCGTGTAATTAGTTTATAAAGCAATGTTCCACCCAAAAGGGAGCTGCTCTCTGCGACGAATTTCATCCG